TGCTTTATTAACAGATTCTCTTGTGCAAAGAACTTTCCAAAGACAAAAGGTCCTAAAGAAAGCACGAGAAAATGCCGTTATTACAATAGTCTTGGAAATTCCAATTTTCTTCGCGTTGATACTAACCCTGTATTCCCAAAAGACCTCAAGAAAGAAAGGGTTAGACTCAACTCGGGTAAAATGTAAACTCAAGCTTTATTTTTAAAATGAACATTTTTCGTGCTGTATTTTGTGTTTGGTAAGATCTTTGCGCAGCGGTTGTTCACTTTGAATTCGMAAATGGAGTATTACACAAGTGTAAAGCTAGAGTCTTTACATGATTAGATAACGCTTTATCACTACACTAACAAAGCTGGAGCCGAGGGAATAGGCAAAAGCAAAGTTATTAAAGGATCTTTTGGTATCTTTTCCGGCACAGGTAAGCTATGCCATATAAGATCATATAATCATCAGTTATGCTCATTGACACATGTATATATTTAATAGGAGTGTATTTTACATCTATCGCTCCAAACAATAATCCTGAGTTAATTCTTCTCAACAACTACGATGACGCAGGYMATGTGACAAACAGCAAGAGGTTGTGGGCCAAGATAGAATGGGTAGTTGAAGTTACCATTCCAGTTTCTGATGTGGAAAAAGTMGRRGGACAAGACAACCGTGATATCTATYTCTACCSTGGAGATGTGAACCTCACTAATCTGCAGTACGACATTTATCCAAACCCTTATTGAATGCTTGACTGTGATTAAATGACTGACACCAAGGATCTCTGCTAATTCTCGAACCTTTTGCATCACTTGGTCACGTGGTACAAAATCCGCCATATTGGATGGCAATTTCTAACATGTGACCAAGTGATACAAGTAGGCCTGTCCCATTCATTTCTTAGAAAAAAAATCCAGTGTTTTTAACGAGCTGTATTTCTATTGTTCACCTTTTTATCTGATAAAAACCGATATTTCTATGTAAGTCATCCTCACCGTCTTGTTAATAAAGAGTTGCACCTTGTATTGGTAAATTTAGACTTTATTACGAACGCCATCTTGAATTTCAGGTGGACGTCCAGGGGGGCGAAAACATGATACTTTCTCTGGCGATTTTGATCTCCAAAATTTATTTATTTTATTTTATTTTTTATTTAAATGATGTGTGAAGTTCAAAGCGCGTGCAGTTTACGAATTTTTTTGTTCATCAAGAAGTTCTTGAATCACTGCTATAAAATAATAATAGAATTCAGGATGGCGGCTATAATTGGTCATTGTATTTCTTATTAAACCTTTGTTATCTGCAATCTTCACTTTTTTTCAGTTTTTTCCAGTTTGCAGTGCTTTTCGAACAAGAGTTACTGCTTCCAGACTAGTTTAATTGAAAGTGCTAAAACAGTGAATGATTCAGGCCGAATCTACATTTACTAATTTCAATGCGACATTTTTCGGATGGAATATCACTCGGAGTAATTACCTTAAAAAAATAATAAAAACAAAATCTGCGATCTCAGCAAGATGCGCAATCATCCAGGGTCTCATTAGGTAGAAAATATACTTGGGTAAAAAAAGATGGGAACTCTAATAACTATTCTAATTAGAGAGACTATTTGTCATCTCTGGAAATAATTCACCCTGTGCACCAGKCTCTCTCATAGTTCATTTGAAGCTAAGATCCATTATTTTTACCCGAGAAATAGTACTTTCAATCAGTTATCCAGGCTAGTCAGTGTACCGCTAACTACATAGCTTGAATATTTTTAAAAGCGTCCATAAATCACTTGACTTATTGTGACCGCAGAATGGATTAYWYCGCAAGCTGTGACACATAACGATAGCCGCCATTTTCGCAGCTGTTCCGGTCGGGTCTAGAAAACAGAACTCGATCCTCCAGCTGTGCGAAAAGATATAATAGCTAATTAAAAATATTTGTATTTTTCTAAAGGAATGTTATCCTTTTTTAAATTTTAAATATGGCATAAAAGTGCATTTTTAAATCTATATTTTTTTATTTTTTTGCTCTTTTGTAGAAAAAAATAGCCTATTTTTTATAATGAGATTAGAAATTACAGATTTCATCTAAATTCATTATGGAGTCTTTTTCCCAGCTGGTTGTAAAAGGGTGSTGGATAATTATAAATTCTAATTCTTTAATTTAGAAATACTTATAACTCGTGTTGAAATTCATTTGTCAATCCATAAGCAATGGCTCGTTATTGTGAAGCATCGGTAATTGTGTTATGGCATCGATTTATTGTGAAGCGAAATGAAGTTTCAAAATTTTGTTATTGTCAAACTTTTTTATTTCAGCATYTTTTCTCTAGTCGAAGGTAAGTTACGATTCGATGTTTCTCCAAATTTACTAATGAATGTTTTATCCATTTTCCGTAGAGTCTGTTGTTTTTTATTAGTTCTTCCTCCTTCTTCGCTTTTACCTTTTTTTACGTTACTCTTTATCTGTTTATTTTTAATTTTTATTGAGTTTTGAGTCCCTCCATCTTTCCAGTATCGTCTCATTCACTTCTTTATCTTTTTTGATGTGTTTTCGTCATATTTCAGCACCTCCAGCCATTCAATTCCTTTGCCTCGATCCTCTTAGGTTTTGGACTCCATGTTCAATGTCGTTGCCTTTAAATTTCCTCATTTCTACATCACATTTATTCACTATTTCTCTACTTTAAGGTAAAAATGTCTGCAAAAACCTTGACTATCTTCCCTGCATCCAAAACAAAACCCTGACAGGTCACGTGATTAAGTCCCTCAGAGTCTTAGCTCCCGGATTAAAGATGTGCCAAAGGAAATGTTTCACTGAAGGCCAGTGTGTGTCGTATAACTTGGGTCCAGTAGACGGTCAGATCAGGACGTGTGAGTTGAGTGCTGCTGATCACTGGTCGTCTMTTGACGCACTTGTATCAAAGAACGGCTCGGAATACTGTCCCATAAAGGTAGTTGATCTTTATTAACAAAAGAGGTCTTTTATCAACCAAGGAAATCAGGCCTTCTTTTATAACCAATCAAATAAAATCTTGTTTGYCAGCGAACCAATTCAAGTATTTTATCAACCAATTGAATCAAATATAGAGTGATCGCACTTAATCCGTTTAATCCGTTTATAAATTAAATTGAAAAATTAAAATTGAATTGATACAAATGAAGCATTCAATACCATCTTGCTTCAGGTCCACTTTTAGTACAAATTAATACTATTTAGATTTTGTACAGTTGCACGCTTTAAGTGCGATCACTCTAGCATTAACCAATTATATTAGAATATTTAAAATATTTACATTAACCAATTATGTCAAGTCTTTTGTCATCAATATTTTGGGGATTGAAAATTCATCACATTTGCTTTACAGAGTCGGTGTTCAGCCGCACCTTGCCCTGGTAATAAACCAATATGTCACCCAGACTTCGCTTTGGATACCTTCACTTGTAGAGGTCAGTAATCAGATGTAATCGACCATACTTTTAAGGTTCTTGAACAGTACGCACTCGCCTTTAAGGACGATTTTCCCTGTCAAACAAGACGTTTTCKATGAGTAGGGCATAATTTGTAAGCAGAAACGTTGCTTATACACTCAACATTGTCATCAACGCACAGGACAATACCCAGTCTCGAATTCTCTTTTGTGCAAACTTAGCTTCAATTAAGCATAGATTTTTATTGTCTTCTTTGTACAGAGTATTGCATTGCAATAGGCATGCTTCCGAGGTCAGAAGGCTGCACAAATAAGATCTCGAAACTGGAGTATTATTCTACGAGTAGGAAGCACAACCTATGAAGATTCACATCGTGAAAAGATGTTTTTCATTACATTAAACAAACATTAAGTGTAGATGATCCATCATTTTACTTTCAGATGGTATATGGAGCCAATGGGGGCYTTGGGAGTACTGTAACTGTCCAATTCTGTCACGTAATCGTAGCTGTCTGAATGCCACGCGTGATCCGGCTACAGACTGTGGTCCTGAAGCAGCAAAACAAACCAAGGAAGACTACAGTAGATGCCCAAGGGCAGATCCTGGTATGCAAAGCAGCTACCAGTACAACAAACACACCAAATCAGCCAAATCAGCAAAACTACAATCTCTCTACAACCACCAACAACACGACACAACCAATTAACATCTCACACTACCTCTACACAACAACCTCCTCACACARCCATCACCTCTAAACAATCACCACCTCAACACAAACATCATCCTAACCGTAACCATACTACCACCATGACCTTAACACAACCACCACCTCAACACAACCATCACATCTAAACAAACACCACCTAAACACAACCACCACATTCACAAAACCAACACCACAAACATCACATCTAAACAAACCACCTCAACACAAACATCATCCTAACCGTAACCATACTACCACCATGACCTTAACACAACCACCACCTCAACACAACCATCACATCTAAACAAACACCACCTAAACACAACCACCACATTCACAAAACCAACACCACAAACATCACATCTAAACAAACACCACCTCAACACACACAACCAACACATTCACACAACCAACACCTCAACACAAACATCACATCTAAAACAAACACCACCTCAACACACACAACCAACACATTCACAAAACCAACACCTCAACACAAACATCACATCTAAACAAACACCACCTCAACACACACAACCAACACATTCACAAAACCAACACCTCAACACAAACATCACATCTAAACAAACACCACCTCAACACACACAACCAACACATTCACAAAACCAACACCTCAACACAAACATCACATCTAAACAAACACCACCTCAACACACACAACCAACACATTCACAAAACCAACACCTCAACACAAACATCACATCTAAACAAACACCACCTCAACACACACAACCAACACATTCACAAAACCAACACCTCAACACAAACATCACATCTAAACAAACACCACCTCAACACACACAACCAACACATTCACAAAACCAACACCTCAACACAAACATCACATCTAAACAAACACCACCTCAACACACACAACCAACACATTCACAAAACCAACACCTCAACACAAACATCACATCTAAACAAACACCACCTCAACACACACAACCAACACATTCACAAAACCAACACCTCAACACAAACATCACATCTAAACAAACACCACCTCAACACACACAACCAACACATTCACAAAACCAACACCTCAACACAAACATCACATCTAAACAAACACCACCTCAACACACACAACCAACACATTCACAAAACCAACACCTCAACACAAACATCACATCTAAACAAACACCACCTCAACACACACAACCAACACATTCACAAAACCAACACCTCAACACAAACATCACATCTAAACAAACACCACCTCAACACACACAACCAACACATTCACAAAACCAACACCTCAACACAAACATCACATCTAAACAAACACCACCTCAACACACACAACCAACACATTCACAAAACCAACACCTCAACACAAACATCACATCTAAACAAACACCACCTCAACACACACAACCAACACATTCACACAACCAACACCTCAACACAAACATCACATCTAAAACAAACACCACCTCAACACACACAACCAACACATTCACAAAACCAACACCTCAACACAAACATCACATCTAAACAAATACCACCTCAACACACACAACCAACACATTCACAAAACCAACACCTCAACACAAACATCACATCTAAACAAACACCACCTCAACACACACAACCAACACATTCACAAAACCAACACCTCAACACAAACATCACATCTAAACAAACACCACCTAAACACACACAACCAACACATTCACAAAACCAACACCTAAACACAAACATTACTCTAATCGTAACCACACAATCAGAAGCACAGGCTGTTGGAAGATTGCATAAATGTTTTAATTTTTAAAATGTGTTGATAGTTTGCTCAGATGCACTGGGGATGGAAAATGGAGAAATCCGAAATGAGCAAATTTCAGCRTCAAGTCRCTATGCCAAATTGTATGGTCACTATGCTCGTCTAAACCGAGAAGGAACTTYAACTAACGACGTGTGGTGTGCCAATAACCAAAGAAACGGCGAATACGTCGAAATAAACCTGACTTCAATAAAGAATATCACAAAGATAGCAATTCAAGGTCGACGTTATTATGGTGGACAACATTTCACTCAGTWCTCCTTAAAGTACAGTAACGACGGAAACAATTGGGAAGATTACGGACCTGCACAAATTAAAGGCTGTCCAGTAAAGGTACAACTAATAAGGGACGTTATTTTGTCTACAAAACTAATTATATGAAATGACGTAATCCATGACGTCAAATGAGATAATTATGACATGATGTCACGTGATATAGAGTGACGTCACAAGAGTTGGTACCGGTAAAGTAAAATCTAAAGAGCAAATCAGGTCGTCTTGAAAAGATAAAACACAAAAAGAGACAGAATACTCCAGTACTCCAGAATGTAATATATTCTTTTATTCAGCAGAGATTCTATTGTAATGCAAACACTCTGTCTACAAAGAAGACAAAAAATTATGCTTGATTAAAGCTAGGCTTGTATAAAAGAGAAATCGAAACTGGAGTATTAGAGTGGTCGCACTTAATCCGTGCAGCTGCACAAACTAAATAGTGCTATTTAGTTGTATTTAGTAAATCGTGCATGCGGTACGAAAATTATTGCACTTAATCCGTGCAACTGTACAAACTAAATAGTGCTATTTAGTTGTATTTAGTAAATCGTGCATGCGGTACGCATTAAATTGAATTAATACAAATGAAGCATTCAATACCGTCTTGCTTCAGGTCCACTTTTAGTACAAATTGGTACTACTGAGGTTTTGTACAGTTGCACGCTTTAAGTGCGATCATGATCGCACTCTAGATGACATAGAATGATTGCATAAATGAATCAATTATTTCCAAAAGTTTTTWTTTTGTGTGTATGCAGATTTTCCCAGGCAACAATGACGGGACATCAGTGGTAACCAACGAGATCTCTCCACCAATTAGGACACAGTACATCAGAATCGTCGTCTTCAATTATTATATTCGACCTTGCACGAGGCTAGAGCTGTATGGATGCTGAACGTTGACACTCAACACTCTGCATGATTTATGGATTTATTTACGCGGCCCCTTTTACCGGAGATATTCACACATCCCTGCACCTCAAATCCGTAGATTTTAGTTATTTCTTTGATACAACTTTGAACTTTTCCATTAGATTAGATCAATGTATTAATCTACCTAACACGGTAAAACAACGGTAGAGTGATCGCACTTAATCCGTGCAACTGTACAAACTAAATAGTGATATTTAGTAAATCGTGCATGCGATACGCAAATTAAATTGAATTGATACAAATGAAGCATTCAATACCGTCTTGCTTCAGGTCCACTTTTAGCACAAATTAGTACAACTTAGATTTTGTACAGTTGCACGGATTAAGTGCGTTCACTCTAGGGTATGATTTAGAAAGAATATATACACATTGACAAGGATTATTCAACGTCCATTTAAATTATATTTGCTACAATCTTTACAAAAATACGTCTTTGGACCAAATAGTTATTTGCCTCCAGCCTAACATTTTTCACATGAATCTCCCCCTAATATAAACTCCGTTTCACATCAATGTTGAGTCGTATTTTCGGATGGTTGGTTACTATGGTAACATGTTCAATGACAGCATTCCATTCAGTGTGGTAGAGACGATGGAATTGTCTGTTGGTGTTGTTTAGAATCGAATACAAGGAAATTCACTTCAAAGGTCCAAGCATTTTGTCAACGATTGTAGCTTATAACAAACGTATCACTGTAAAACCCGCAAACCATCAAATATAGAGGTAAAATGATACCCGCATTTTGTTAAGTAGTTACCCTTAATAAAGTCTCATACGCCATCTCTGCCTTTACCCAACCACAACAATAAATGGTCCGCCCAATATCTATCCTCATAGACAGCATAGCCAGGCGTTCCTAGCCACTACGAGAGAGCCTGGGCCGTAGAGGCTAGGAACGCCTGCCCACGCAGACTACTATCCTGAATGACAGAAACTCCTAAATTTACCACACTAAATATCTTTCTTGCAACTCGTACATCAAAATGAATGATACCCAAATAAAAACTATACAACATACAGTAAAATATTTCACCTTTTTTATGATATGAAATTTCATCTTTCTACACAACTACAGCATACAGTATACTAAAGTAACAACAACTCCTCTTTTCTTACTCCAGTAAAATAAAAGACTTCCATCCATTTTGGAGCCCTCTATATAGAACATGCATCACAAATTGGCCATTTTGGTGAGCTATAACCCATGCATTTTCATCAAAAATCGGTCATTTTGGGTCATTTTGGTGGGCTATAGCCCATGCATTTTCATCACAAATCGGTCATTTTTGGCCATTTTGGTGGGCTATAGTCCATGCATTTTCATCGAAAATCGGTCATTTTTGGCCATTTTGGTGGGCTATAGCCCATGCATTTTCATCAAAAATCGGTCATTTTTGGCCATTTTGGTGGGCTATAGCCCATGCATTTTCCTCAAAAATCAGTCATTTTTGGCCATTTTGGTGGGCTATAGTCCATGCATTTTCATCGAAAATCGGTCATTTTTGGCCATTTTGGTGGGCTATAGCCCATGCATTTTCATCAAAAATCGGTCATTTTTGGCCATTTTGGTGGGCTATAGCCCATGCATTTTCCTCAAAAATCGGTCATTTTTGGCCATTTTGGTGGGCTATAGCCCATGCATTTTCATCAAAAATCGGTCATTTTTGGCCATTTTGGTGGGCTATAGCCCAGGCATTTTGGTGGGCTATAGCCCATGCATTTTCATCAAAAATCGGCGGGAAAAAAAAAAGACTGATTTATGATCAAAATGCATGGGCTATAGCATTTTTGACCATTTTGATGCATTTTGATCAAAATTCGTTTATTTTGGTTYTTTTTTGGTTGGCTATGGTCCATGGGTTTTGGTCGAAAACGGTTCATTTTGAGGGATTTTTGGTGGGCTATAGACCAATTCGTTTTGGTTAAAAGGGATCATGATTTTTAGCTCTCTCCATGTTCTAAAGTGCACGAWTATTTTTTGATTTTTTTTTKGCTGGGCAGGGCAGTAAATGCTTAGGATTGAGTAAATGGAAAGTTTTCAAAAAAATATGTTCACTTGATTAATTAATTCAACTATAATTAGTAGTATGTTTTAACATTTATTTTCATTTATGACGTTGTTTAAATTGTGGAAGCAAAGTTCTTATTTACTCTACCCAGTTCACGTTCTAAGGATGCTCGTCCAGGAGTAACTGAGGAATTGCACTGGGAATTGGTGCGAGATTTTAATCGCGATGTAAGCCCTATGACCGCTCTTCTGAAGTCTCTGTTGAAGAATCCATATACAAAAACATTACATGCGCTGTTGATGTATGTCAACGATATAAATACCAGCTTAATGTTAGGTGGTGTTTGAATTAGTTCCACAGAATTTATCAACAAGAACACAAAGAAGGGCATCCAACAGATAACGAAGACTCCAATCACAATTAGAAACAGTTTGAAAATACGAATTTCCATCCACAGTCGAAGAGAGTCTAGTGTTCTCTGTATTGAAGAAGACCTTCGGGTTGTTAAGTCATTAAGGYCGATGTGCTCAAGGTTCAGGTTGAGATTGGATTGCGATTTGATTTTTTTCATTTGTGCCATGGCAATGAAAAGAACCTTTGCATTGGTAAAGATCAAAAACAGAACCGGTATCAGGAATAATAGAATAAAAATGGAAATGGCGTATTCTACGTTCGTCCCCTGCAAAGAACATTGATGAATTCTGTTCCGAGAGTTTTTTACTGCCTTCCATGCAAGAACACTAATGGAGAACGATGATATCCAGACGAATATCAGTAGTCTGCGGACTTTCTTTTTGCCCATGCGCATTGAATACCGCAGAGGTGTAGTTATGGCCAAATATCGATCCCAACTGATGGTACACAGGTTCAAGGTGGACGCCGTACTGAACCAGATACTTGCAAATACCCAAGCATAGCACAATTTATTGGTTAAAATTGATAGCTCTGTGAAGGAAGTAAAAGCATTGAATCCGACAATGTGCATAGCGACTCCATTTTGTGCAGCAAAGCATGATGGGAGTTTTAATCGTCRTACTTTTGCATAAGTTTGTTATTAATTTACTCAACACAAAACGCTGAACAGTCAAGTATTCCACTGATATATCATCATTAAGAGCTTCGTGTGTTGAACGAGCACCTTGTATGACGTGTTGATGATAAATATAATGACGTAATTGAACATTTAGAAAAAAATTGTAGCACATTTTAAACCAGGAACCAGGAATAATCTTCCGCGTCTTAATAATCTTCCAGATTCCTKCGATCCTTAGAAAGATTTCCAAAGCTGATATCCTTCAGATAGATCGATAGCTATTTACAATTGTCGTCCCCTAAATAAATTTTAGATTGACTGCCGATAATTTGCCCGCAATTTTGACTTTTCCTACTCAGAAAATTGTTATCAAAGTGGTTTTATTGTTGTTTATTAATGCTCACCGTTCATTTGAATGGCAACTTGAAAAATCAAAGCAACAGGAACGATGAAAAGACCAACCATGAAATCAGCCACAGCCAACGAGGCAACGAAGAGAAATGTCGGTACACGAAGTCTTTTGGTTGCACAAATAGTACAAAAGATGATACCATTCCCAACCAAGATTATTAGAATCAAAATCAGCAATAACAGTGAAATAGTCATTGTTGTAGGATTTCTCAGAGCCTCTGAGATGGAATATGTCCTTTGTTCGGTAAGTTCCAGACTTGTGTTGTTTGTCAATCCAGAGTGTGTCATCGCAAAACTGAAAAAGAAATGGAAAGAGAACTACATCAAGGCCAAAGGAATCAATAAACTTTGAAAGCCTAAAACATCTTGAAAGCACTTATAGTAATATATATACTACAAACCATACTGTAATTTATCACAATAGCATTCAATGATAAAGTTTCCAATGACAAAACATAAACTACAACAACTTACGTTAGAATCTTGCACGTTTGTTTTCCAATATCCAATATTTACTCGTCATATCCCTCCCAGCTGACCAAGTCTTTACTCTGAAAGATATTGTTTGTATATGAATACCAACAACTCTTTAACTTCTAATGAACGACGATGTGTTTGAGTTTGCTGTGCACACTAGAGTATTTTCTCTCAAGATTTTATTTTCCTTTGCCGCATAGGCAATGAAGCGGCTCTGTCGTACCGATATCTCAATATTACTGACTTGAACATATTGAGTTCCGATATACACACAACTCTCCGATTCGTAATAAATATATATATCTCTCACATACTTTTTAAGTTCATAACGTGCACTAGTCATGGTAATACCTAAAAAATGCAGGTGGAAATCWCTGAGTTTTAAACGTTCGCCTCTGTAACCTCAGGTCAGGAAATATTCGGTAAACACTTGTAACACTTGTTAAGATGGTAAATGGTTAGCGGCTGCGATGATTCAAGGACATGAGTAAACCTAAAAAAAGATTTAACTTCTAATAATAGTAATAGTGATTTTACTTGATGGTGGAAACTGAAAATAAAATACATATTTAGGCGAATAACTTTTTTGAAGTTTTTTTTTAAAGGAAAACTTGCTTTTTTTAAAGTCAAAATGAATCGTGAAACCGTCAAGCGAAAGTTCAGTATGCACGAACGATTTTTATGTAACTGTTAAGKTTAGATWATWTATGTGCATTRTTTRCGATAGTATTCGACGATTTAAGCTGTCAGTTTTTACGTTCTTCTTTGCCTTTATGTATCATAGAATATAAACATTAGAGTTGCTACACTCASCTCGTGAAACATTTATAATAGTGTGTTATACTTAACGAAAAACGAATCAAAATAATGTCTAATTGTAGATTAGTAGTCTACTATATCACGGGTTAACTCTTCAGTGAACAAGGTGGCCACTAGATCTGGTTAACGATGAAAGAATAGCTCTAATAAGAACCATACGGACACTCATTTAAAGAATATTCGCGTAACTCTGGCCTATAAAAGGTTTCGCCTTCAACGAGAGAACAAAACATATTACATAAAATCTTGGCAATAAGTTTGACACACGACGTAAAAATTTACATCGAGATTTTAATATTAATATTRTGAGCATTTATGAACATTAACAAACCATTTAAAAACTATTTAAAAGATCAATTCTTGCGCGCTGATTTGGGTGATTAGAATGTGTCATATGACATACACACTGMGATGACGTCATTACGTCTCGCGCGCGCTCAGTCAAAGAAAAGGATTTCTWCCTAATATTTGGCTGAAAATGTGGTAAAAAAAAAAACAAATTGTGCAYGTTTTTTTGTTGCACTCTGCACTCATGAGTTCACTTGAGTTTTGAACACTTTATAACGTGTGTCAATCATAGGTGTCAATAGACTTCTGAACCTTTTACGTCACTACTTGCTTTTCAATGCATTGTGGGATCAGTTTCTAGAGAAAACAAAAGAAATCCGCCATTATATGACGTAAAAGCCTCAGAGGTCTATAAGAGGACAAAGAAAAACATGCGCAATTTTGTTYAATATATATTGGGTTCAGAGATTGCCATAAAATGACACATTGCTARCTGTCATGCAATTTGAACGCTCCCTTAGACATCTGAGGAATGCAACTCCTTGCTCGATCTTTTATTGAACACTCTCTCGGACTTATTCTCTATGTGAGACGCAGCTCACTGTACGCCGTTTGAGCACACATTACAATGTAATCCTTCCCACAACGTCTAAACGCACATCCTGTGCAAAATCTCAGGAGCTGCCATAAATCTATAGATGGGCTCCCTCTAGTACTTGTTACCGAGTGGAACTTGGGTAAAATTYCTCTTATATCAGTCCCTCTCGGAATCAAGTCCACAAAGGAATCCCATCGTCAWCTAACAAGTCTTACAATAACTTTAATATCTAAATGACTATGGCTCAAAATCTGCCTTGTACCAGAAAACATAAAAGAATGGGTGTTTGGTTGTATTGTAAACGCCATTGGAAGATTCATCGATAAAAACACATACTCAGTAGTACCTTCTACCAMCACTTCAAATGTCTTGTCATTACAAGAATTAATCACCTCATAAGCCACGCTAATTCCACTGGGATGTCTACGAATCACTTGAAGTAAACAATTYTCATATAAGTTCGTAATTTCGGCATGCGACTGAAACATGAAATGCAATTTGGGATGTGCAACCTTYTTCGAGTCTATCCGACYGACTACGTCGTTCAAAGGTTTTCTCTTGTCGCACATGCAGAGTTTTATGTCCACAGATTCGTCAGCACAAGGTTTAAACTTGTTGTACAAAGTTTGACGGTCGTATAAAACAAGTTTTGGGACGCCATTGTTCAGGCGAACGGCCACTTGAAAGACTTCGTCGTCCTGGAGACCTACAACTGTCGCGTCTACGTGAATGTTGAATTTTACCAYAGAGCCRTGTTGCCTTTGAATKACTTTAGTAAAACTTTTCCCTGTCAAGCGAASACAACGTCCGTACCCTTTCACCCCAAGCGATTTTGAATGTTTTCCTAGAGGGAAAATTTATGATGTTAGAAACATGGATATTTGTGGAAGATATTTGGTGACTCAATTTGAATGGTGAAAGATAAAACATCTTCTTAGAAAGATCTATCATCACCTTTAAAAAAGCATAAACACAATTCAGTTAGCAAAATTATATTAAAAAAAAAAGAAAATTAAAGGCAAACGAACTAGGACTACTCGCAGCAACCTAACTTAGAAATGCACAATTCATAAACTCGGGGCCAGCTTATGCTCTTGCGCATCTATCRAATGAGGTTAGACCGCTGACATGCAAGCGTGTCTCAGTTTTAAGTTTTCCCAAACTACTTTTAGTCCAACCCCAAAACAAAGATAATTGACAAATATTGAATTGTAATGGCCGTCTGGGTCGTAGATATGAAATTAACCAAGTGCGTGTATCACTTTGCGAATACACTAAGTTACGCGGAAGTGACGTCAATACAACTTACCATTAGAGTACTGATGCTGTATATACCCATTTAGAGTACCAAGAGCAAACTCCGCTAACCAAGTATGACTTGGTGAATTGTCTCTCAAGCTCTGTTCAGCCCCCTCGCAYTGACACCTAGCCAATGGCATCAAGGGCAGGTCAAAACATGTTCGACTYGATGGAATCTTCGAGAACACACCCGTTTTCCGAAAATCCTTTGATCGRGAGTTCGATTCCTGGTGGAAAGTCATAAGAGCTTTATGTAGGTCTAGAGTGGTGAGAATTCTTCGCTGATTGGTTGACAGGTTATCCATTGTTTCTCTACCCAATCGTTTTGCGAGYTGTTTTGGTATTATCATGAAAAGCAGAGGATTGTATCGCTCTAGTAAGCCTTCCTCAGTCTGCCCGTAGGGTGTCCTAGTATGACCATGATCTGATARTATTAAAGTCCACGTATTGGGATCCCTGTGGAGAAAACAACTTCTGAATCTGYGGGATTTTTATGAAACAATTGAAATAATTTCAAATTTCTCTGGAATTGAGATATCGTAAGATACCTTTTAAAACCGAAGGATGGATATGTCGTCCAACTAAACTGATTTTCGCAGAATAAAACGATCTACGCCCGAGGTGCATGCCGGTTTGTTATGGCCGCWATGCATGCCGGTTGTTTATTGTCCTTTTATGGTAATGAATTTGTYCATCCATGCATTGGTCGGTCTATTTACGTGTTCATTTTGTTCGCTCWTTAATTTTTTTCCCATTCATTCAACATCGATAAAAACAACCTAGAACCCAGGTCCTTTCAATTCGCTTAAACGCGAAGCCCTGAGAACGAGCTAAAGACCAATAAAATAAATCACTTACYTTGACATGAAATGGATAAAACTCGCCAGATCCTGATCCATATTCGTAATCCTCGTCCCTGTTTCAGTGTGCGCAGTGTTTAAGTGTTGGTAGAGAATAATCGGCTTTGCGTTTTTCGTGCGTCTTATTGCGTTTACGAAAGAACGCGTGTACTTGTAAAAATACGAGCTTATGAATCTGCCATTGAAACATACTTTTGATGGACGATCGTAAAGGTTGGACAAACTGTAGTACTTGAGAACTTCGCACGTAAAATGCGTGATTCCCAGATGGTCGAGCTGATGGTTGCGTATAAGTTCGTTAAACCGTACCCATCTAAAAAAGAAAGAAAAGCTTGATCATATTTTACGTAACACAGGTAACCCAATGTAATAACTCATCGCGCCAAAGGGAACCCATAACGTCTACCCTTGTATTAATTACCGCTGTACTGATGGTGTGCTGTCGGATTTTCGTTCCATATTATCTAAGAGTGTTCCCCATTCGTCATACCAGCAAAGGTCTTCTTGGATCATTGTCTGGTAGTCATGCTGCTTAAAATGCTTGAAAAGAATGTCGATACCCACAGGTCTTTGCGACGCGGATGATTTTTTCTTAAAATCCGTATAACCTGAAGAACGAAACTATTAATGCAAATTTGAAGAAGTGGAAGTTCAATTAGTATTAATTGTTTATTGACAGATGTCAATTATCGTTAAGAAATCATGTCCAGCTTTTCATAAAAGAAAACACGGTTTTCTAACAGTGCCTGATAGGAAAAAGCAAAATATTTTTGCTCTCTTGCAAACTAGAATCCAATGTGTTGTCGCAGCTGGAGCTGCATTCCCGTGAACTGTCTATGTTATTTAGTCTCCTCTCGCAGACGTTAGGACGTTCGTTCCCAGGTCACTCCCCCCTGGGAACGAACGTCCTAACGGATGCGAGAGGAGACTAATGTTATTGTGACGTCAAAGGATTTTTACGTGGGAGTGGACTCGTTCACTCGTTCTTTTTCTCATGAAAGTTGAACTTAATATTTTGTCGTCTTTAAATACGTTTTGGGTATTTGCGTATTGCGTACACATTATTTTTATTGTTTTCTTTGTCTATTCTCTGTTCACGGAATACTGAATGTCATTTATCATTAAACCAATAACACTCAGTTCAGACGTCATAGCGAAACAGTCCAATCAAAAATGGTAATGACAATGAATTCTACTCACCTTGCAGAACTCCAGAGAACAGTGGGCGAAGATTATCAAAGGTATGCATACTGATACTTTGAAAGAGCTCAAAGTCAAGCACCGTTGCGGCACCGGACGGGTCATTCATGACGTCTCTCAAAGCCTGAACTGACTT